TATACATATAAATTGTTCATTGACCGAATGTGCGATATCATGTTTCGGAGAATAAATATAGTATATGGAATATTGTTCATAAAGTGCTACAATTAAAAATAAATACATAAATACATACATATATATATTTATACATAGGATAGTTATTAACATTACAAGGCAGATGCAGAGCAATTGATAGACAGGCGTTCATGAATAATCAAATAAAAATTTAAATTAAAAGACAAATATATAACTTAAAAGACAAATAAAAAGTAAAACAATGTATAACAGCTACTACAATAAAAAAAAAAAAAAATACACAAATTCATTTATTGCGAAACCCTTGACTACAAAAAAATCACAATGTATTTTATATGCAGTTCTATTGATATGGAGACGATATTATGTGTAGACATATATACATACTAACAATTCTGTGGAAATTTATTTTATCTTTTGTACAGTTTCTTTTAATATACTATAATTGCATTTAATATATGTGATTTTTGTTTCGTTTAAGGGCAAACGCAACTTCGGTGCGCCGAAGTTAGATGAATTGGTTCAAGGCAAAAAACCGACTTGTACTCAGATATCAGCTAGAGCTCTTCACAATTGAGTTTGGTTTTGCAGCCCTGGTTTAATAATTTTAAATATTCTACACTAAAAAAAATCATGCTACACTTAAAGCTTAACATATATCGCACACTGTTTGATTTTTTTATAAAGCCAGTCGAAATAGTTTTGTGGAGCGTACCAAAGGATAGTTTTTCAAGGTCAGTTCGATTAGAGGTCAGTTGTTGTTGCTGTTCTTGGTTGTTGTTCTTGTGGTTGTGTGCATACCTTTGAGCCCGCATCGAACTTGAGACGCCAAGACGGACGTCGCTCAGCTGCTGATATGGATGTGCTTGAAGAGGAAGACGTCGATGGCGCAACAACAGTAGCAGCAGCAGAAGTCGCCGCACCACCAGCACCACCTGCACCACTCTCCATAGTGCGACGCGCGTACAGGCTAAGCAACGAGTCGCGCGCATTAAAATCTGCATGTGCAGCCACTGGCGAGGCCGTATCCGACTTGCCATCCGCATCCTGAGCAGATCCGCCAGCCGAGCTGCTGCTCAGATTGCGCTTATCACGCAATCGTACCGGACTCTCTAGACTGCCGGGTGTTGTTACGGGCGTCGGCGTTGTCGCCGCTCTGCTCTCAGTAGGCGCTGCGGCGGCGAGCGGCAGCTCTGTGGGTCTTGCAGGAATCGGCGTCGACTCGCCGCTGGCTTCTGTGCCCGTCACGCGCGCTTGCTTGGCAACTACTGGGTCAGTCTTTAGTTGTTTGTGGCTGCTCGACTCTTCCGCCTCTTGTTTCTTCTTCTCCTGATCGGTCTCAGACTCGACGGGCTTCTCCCGCCTAGAGACTATCGTATAGCTGGCACTGACCGCCGTCTGCTGGTCATCATCCTCGCCAGCTGCATGTGTGTGTGCTGGCGGTGCCAGTGTGAAGCTAGCGGTGGTATCGGCGCTGCCAACCACAGCTTCAATTATTTCCGAATCATCTGCTGTGGTTGCTGTCCTGGGTATTATGGCTGGTGGCGGACTTGTGGGCGGTGGTGGGGGCTGCGCCTCTGGCTGGCTGCTGTCGTCAATATCGTTCTCACTGCTATTGTTGACTGCTGTTGCTGTTGTTGTTGTTGCAGTTGTTGTGCTTGGAGTTGCTGGTGTTGCAGTGGTGGAGCTTGTTTCATTCTGTTAATAATATTAGTTGTGGAACAAATAAAAAACAGTTGACCTGCGCGTTGTCTCCAAAAACAAAAATCAAATGGCGTTTCTGGATGAGATTCTTAACGTTTTTAGAGGCTAACCAGGGTAATAGGGTCTGCTAAGGGTCACGCTAACGATCATAAACAGTTTACGATAAACGATATAAGACATACATACGACATACGTAGAGTGCCCTGGCACTTTAATATACTTTAGGGGGAAAAAAAAAAACTAAACGCATGCAAATTGCCTCATGCACAAATACATAAGTATGATCTGTATATAATATATATATGGTATATACAAAACTGTATAGTAAAAATAAAAATAACTTAAAATACATACAATTAATTACACTATTCGCTTTGATGAAATCAGACTACTCTTAAATCAAACGAGAAAACTGCAGATAAATGAAAATTTTGATTTCGATTTTGATTTTGTGTTTGATTTTCATTTTGATGAACCGTTACGAACGCGGCATTATGGGCGGGCAGCGAGCGCTGGGCGTGGCGGGCGAAGGCGGCGTTTGCAAGGCATTTATTTACTTTCAATTTGATCAGCGGCGCAACAATACAAAAAAGAAAACGAACTCGATCCCAAACGCAAACGCAGTAAAAAACACAATTTGATTGGCGCTCGGTTTTGATTGTTAAATTTGTTGCAGCTGAACGCAGGCTAAATGAGTGCTGATTGATTGATCGGCTGACTGATCAACTTTGATTCGATTTGATTGATTGATGAGAGAACGCACTGATTGACAACATGAGCAACTAAACCACAGTCTTGGATTGACTGCCATTTCCCCGCACACTATGCAAGCGGACCATATGCTTGAAGAGTGTCTCAAGTGTCACTCGGTTGCATGGTGCTTGGGAAAACAGAATTGAATTTCACTAAGTGCTACCATGAAGCTTAATTTCTTTAAAACTAGGCTGAACAAACATGCTCACACACACACGCACACACACACATTCGCACATCGATAGTGGGTGGGATATATGAAATTGACAAACACCATATTTGAAATGTGGGTAGTGAGAACACTAAACGACTGCAATGATATGATATAGGTATATGGAGGCTGACAGAGGGTGAGAAGGGGAGTAAGTGAGGTGCACAGCTGCACACGCACTCGCCCACACACACACACACATACTCTCTTTATTTAGGGGGAAGACAAAACACAACGAATACATTAATGGGAACACCATAACCATAAGCAGTTGTTGTCGTTGGTGTTGTATGACATCGCGTGTATGTGTGAGTGTGTGTGTGTGTAAATGAAAACCTCTTTTCAACTACATAGAACATAAGAGTATATTGTATTTACATCTAGTTTATATATGCTGGATGATTACGAGTGTATGGCTCTCGCTGATCTACGATATATGCTAACGATCTCTTGATTTCGATGTGTGTGGATTTGTTGGGTGAGATTTGTTTCTAAGTTGTTTCTTTTATCTGTCTTGGGCCCACATAGTACTTACGCTGCTGCTGTTGTTGTTGTTATTGTTGTTGTTGTTGTTCATGCCCAGGTTCTTCTTCTTCACCAGCTCCTCGGCGCTCTTGATCTCCTCGAGCGTAACGCCCTGCGTAGACCGACGCGTCTCACGCACTCGCTTCGCATGAGCCTTGCGTTGAGTTTCGCTTTCCTCGTCACGCACAGGCGGCACAAAGGATCTACATGGAGAGAAAAGATATACGCATTGATTAGTTAAGTTTCTAATAATCAAGGACACATCAACGAAAAATGAGATTCTCAGCTCGCGGCACATGCTACACGTTTTGGGCGGGGCAGAATTGAGAGTTAGCAGAGCTAGCACAGATTTAAACGGCTTTTCGGGTTAGCGCAATACAACAGTTGTTAACCAATTAACAGTTATGCTTCATGATCATTACTTGAAAAAGTTCTTGAATATATTGCCAGCCGATTGCTTGGGTTTCGGGGTCTCCACATCGCTTGCACTGGCGCTGGCCGTAGAGCTACCATTGTTGTTGTTATTGTTGTTGTTGATGTTATTATTATTATTGTTGTTGTTGTTGCTGGCCGGATTGCTGATGAATTTTTAGGTATATATATATAATAAACCGATGATAAAATATAAAACTTAAAATAGTTGCACAAGAAAATTTAAACAGAACATAAAATCTATATATTTGTTTTTTTCCCCCCTTTAAAAATTTTAAGTATAACTTGAAATATATATGCCAATGCATAACTTTAATCTATTTATACACTCACCTGCGAATAGGTGGGGTGAGCACAGTTGATGCGGGTGAGCTGAGCGTCGTTGTTGTGGTTGTAGTCGTTGTTGTTGCTGCCGTAAGCATCGTAGCTGGAGCAATTGGTTTCCTGTGAGAGCAGCAATACAAATTGAGAGAATGACAGATAGAGAGAGAGAGAGAGAGAGAGAAAGGAAGAGATGAAAAAGAGAGATCAAAACATTAAAGAGAATCGCTAACTGGTGTTCTAGATCACATCTAAGAGAGATAGACGACATAGTGCGCATTGCCTAGATAAATGTTAAGTAGACTTTGTTGTTGGTGCAATGAGAGTTTGTCGAGGATACATGTATATACATATATAGGTATATAGACTACATATATATGCATATAGAAGCTAAGCAAAGCAATGATTATATATATATATATAGAGTTTAGTTTACAGTTCTATAGTTGTTATATAAATTACTTGCTAGTTAATTACAGTTAGTTAGGAGTTGTAATTAGAGGCGTTACCGAATTCTTCTTTTTCGATTAGCACAAAACAAACCTGAAATATACTGAGTTATCTTTGAGGGATGCCGATCTTTGTACGCTATAAATTTGACTTGGATAGGCTGTAGTAGCTGCAGTTGCTGTTGTTGTTGTGGTTGTGTTGTTGGTGTGTGTGTWGAATGTGGTTGTAGTAGTAGTTGTTGTTGTTGTGTTGTTGCTGCTGCTGCCACTGCTGCTGATGCTGGTTGTGCTCACAGTCTTTCCCAACAGCAGCGCGCTCTTATTGTTATTATTATTGTTGTTATTGTTATTGTTGTTGTTATTGCTACTTTGGTTATTGTTGTTATTAGCATTATTGCCGGGCACAGCATTCGCCGCCGTCGTCGCTGGCAGTATGGGACATGAGTTCGCCTTTATGCGTGCCCGCAGCTCATTGTACTTTTGATAGAATCTGCGCGGGTCAGGTGGAACAGACGGGCAGATGGGCAGACAGGCGGGCAGACGGGCAGGCGGGCAGGGTTGGTTGACAGGCGGGCGGGCGGGTTAGAATTGGATTTTTTGATAAGCGTTTGATGAATTGGTGCGATGTGAGTTGTTGTTGTTGTAGTTGTTGCACATAAGGAAAAGAACACACATAAAACAAAAATAAATAGCAAAACAAATCAAGTTTTCAAAAAGTATAAAATTTTTTTCAAGTTCGTAAGCTTTTTTCTGTTGTTTAGTTTGTGCTTCACAATTCGCCGCAGCGCTGCAGCAGAGACTTGAATGCTCTCTAGAGAATTTGAACACTAAACTCTGACCATTTATACAATAAATTAATTCTCGAAATTTTATAACTGATTCATTGGCTGTTCGAGCAACAGTTGAACAGTTGACAGAATGGCTAAATTTAAAAAGTTCGATAATGGTCGATACAAATAGAAGTAGGTGTATTTGTGTCCGTGTGTGAGCATGTCTGTGTGAGTAGCTATGTGTAAGTGTGTGTGTGTGTGTGAAAGCTGCGTGAGGTGTTTATTGATAAGCGGCTGGCAATCAGCAAAAAGTGAAACACAAACAGCAAAATTAATCGAAAGTGTTGTGCAAATTGTGACACATTAAATATAGTAGTAAAATGCGGGTTAATTTGCAGTGTGCGTGTATGTGTGTGTATGAATATGTAACAGTTTATATGTGTGTGTGTGGCACGCATTTATGTCTAGTTATACAAGGTGTGCACAGGTGTGCGTGTGTGCGCTAAACTCACTTTTGATCATTCTCAAAGCTTTGGGTGCGTCGCAAGATGACATCGTTGGCGGTCTCATTGGCGCTCTTGCCGCTTAGCTCTTTGTCAGGAACTTCTGTAACGCCAGATAAATACACTATTATTAACTAGAAATAATTAGGGATGTATATGACGTACGATTCTTAGTGGGACTGTCGTTGGGCGTACGCAGCGTTTTGCGTCGCCAGGGCGCCTCCTCCTCGCCAGAATGCTCGGCGGCATGAATATGCTGATTGGGCTTAACATTTTCAGCTGTAAATGCAAATACACAATCATTAGATATATGAATATATTCAAGGATATCTATAGAAAACGGTTAGTCTTTGCTTAATGCAGGCTTTAAGCACATTGAGGGTTGGGTAAGTAACTGAGGCACTAAACAATTTAGCGACTACCTTCGCTCTCGGTTAAACTTGTGCTGTGTGAGCTCTCTGTGGAATCGCTGAGCTCTGAATCGGTATCATCTTCATTATCATCAACATCAACATCATCATTATGATCCTTGGCAGCAGTCTCAACTATAGCATCAACATCTTGGGGCGCCAATTGGGCGCTCGTATTAAGCGAGCCGCTCGCAGCTGCAGTGTGCGGTGTGGACAAAGACAAGACACAAATAGAGCAAAGAGAGACAGCAGAACGTGAGCGGGCGGGCGGGCGGTTGATACAGACACAGAGAGAGTGAGAGAGAGGTAGCAAGCAGCGAGTCGGGGAAAAAGAGAGAGAGTATAAGAGAGAGCATTACACAAACTGTTGACTAGATGACGAGTTTGATGACATTGATGATCATAAAGATGAGACGCAAAACATAGAAAGCAGGCAGCTGCAGCTAAAKATGAGATGAAATGAGATGAGATGAGACGTGGACATGGGCGTGGAGTTGGACAAAGGCAGTGACAAGTGTGTTTGTAATTAAATGCTTTGAACCGAAATATTAACGCGCATGAGAACCTAATTGAGCGACACAATTGAAAAACAAACAAAAACACGCACAAAATTTGGCATAGAAATTAAAGAAAACTTTTTATATAAAATATGCAAATCAACGGCTGCGCTTGGGTTGAGTGGGAGGATTTCTGATAGGATTTACTGAATTTAATTGTACGCACCATCCTTAGCGGTATCAGTTCTCACTTCAACGCGTACGAGTTTCGTTCGTGTTTTGTCCACATGATTTTCAATCGCATCTGAGATTCTGCTGTAAGAGAACGAATGATTTCTAAATGGTTTTAATTGATTTGATTGAATCATTCTAAACTCACCTGATTTGACTAGATGGACGCCGTTTGTTGCGCTTGTTGGCGCGCAGTTCTTCAAGGAATTTGACCATTTTGCGATCGGCCACATCGATGCAGGTCTGGCCAGCATAATTCGTGATATCCATATCGGCCAGTGACTCAACCAGCATTTCAGCCGCCTCCTTCTGGCCCCAGTGTGCAGCAGCATGCAATGGTGTCCAGCCATCGTTGTCCTGCCTATCCACGTTGCAGCCAGCGGCGAGCAGCAGTCGCAGCACTTTCGCATAGCCCTTGGCCGCGGCCACATGCAACGCTGTTGCACCAGTTTTCGGATGCGGTCGATCCACTTCGGACAGATCACCGCGCTTCGCATCCTTCAGCATGGCCTGCTCCTCGGCTCTGCGTGCCTGATCCACATCAATATTGAGCTCCTGCACCACCTTTTCCATATAATTAATCATGGGCATATGCTGCACATCGATGGCCAAATCCAGTGCCAGATCCCCATCGCTATTCACGGCAGCCACATCCGCGTTGTGCTCCACCAAGTAGCAGGCTATGCTAACAAAGCTGTAAACGCGGCTCATTAGTGAAGGTGTCCCGTATTTTGTGGGATGTTTACTCACCCGCAAGAGGCGGTAGCATGCAGTGGCGTCCAGCCCTCGTTGTCTTGCCGATTAATATCGGCACCGTGCTCTATTAAAAACTCAACCATGTCGAGTTTGTCATCAATGCAGGCCTGTAATACATATTTGATTAGCAAGTTTTATCAATTTTATAATGATGGATGTCTCACAGTTGGTTTATAAGACTCTTAATAATAATTGTATAAGAGTATTGAAATTATTAGAGATTGCACAAACAGTATAAGAGTTGTCAAGATACGTAAGAACGTTTAAAAAACAGTGGGTATAAAGTATAGGAGCTTGTATAAAAGTATAAGAGTTTGTATAAGACTTTACAAGTATTTTAATATGAAATGGACTTTGATATTGCATATAAAGTTTATATTAACGTGATTTAACTGAAACTAGTCTCATTATTTAGCTTAGCTTAGTTTTAATGATCCGCTAACTATGCTATATAAAACACATATACAAAATTAAATTGTTTAACGATTTCGCCGAAGTTAACAAATTCAAATACTTTCAATTGATTTGGCCAATGAACCTCCCATGTTACATTCGACAAATTCCGAGGCGCAGACAAAAGAAAATGAATAATTTAACAATTATCTGAAGCAGCTTTTTGATATAATTTGCATTTCTTCACAGTCGATCAATTTACATATGCCCCTTGTTTACTGTTTGGCAATTGGTTATGCTAAAGCTTCGACTAAATACAATGAAATGTATCAATGTATATTGTGCGAATTTATTTTTATCTTTGGGGATCCGACTTTCCGTCGTTTATCGACTCTTATACTGCTGGGGCATGTTTCTGTATAAGTAATTGTGCCATGTTTTAATAGCTCTGATACATTTGTGTTTATCTTGCTAAAAACGCTAAAGTAAACACACTCACACACATATACATATGCACAATCCAGCGTTACATATACATAGATAATTATATAGACTGGAACTCTGGTACCGACTGTGGCACATGGACAACGTTGTTTATGCGGATTTCCGTTGAAACGTATGCAGAATGAAGACGACAACGACAACGACAACGACGACAGCCGATGATGGCGATGATATCATCGTGAGCAACTCCGTCGGCTTCTATATGCCGCTATCTAGCGACAAACCCGCCCAACAACAACAACAATAACATCGACGACGACGACAACAATGCGGCGCTTAGTAGGCAGTGAAATGCCGATAAGAATTCTTAACAATAAAATAGAAAAGAGAACAAGAACTTCAAGCTCCAATACCAATACGAATTCGAATACCCATTCGCACAATTGTTGCCATTTGATAAGCGTGTGTGAGGTATTCAAAATCAAATTTTTGTTGTTTCTTTTGCCTAATTCAATTCTTTTATAGTCCGCCACATATGTTAATTTAGAAGATTTTTTGGTTTTATTTTTAAGGGGCAAAATGCAAAAGCAATTTCCATTTCGCAGTAAAACTCATAAAAGGCGGAACACAAAACCAAACCAAACCAAACTCAAGAGAACTAAATGGCGGGGGAGAGAGAGGGACTGAGAGCAATTTGCAAATCTGGAACGCAGCCAATTAATTAATTATGAACAATTTTGATAAACTGACCAACTGACGACAGCGACAGCTGACGACGACGACGACGACAGCGATGGGCGGCCCGCCCACGCGTGACCATCCCAGCAACAATAACAACAACAACAACGACGACGACTGTGGCATGCAAAATTTGACATGAGCTATTTGCTAGGCAATTTGTGACTCTTGATTTCTGCCCTGGTGTTAATGTCAGCCATAGCAGCAGCAGCACCAACGGCAGCCGCAACATCCCTAGCGAATTCTGTGCTATTTTCATTGCATTGAAAGCGAATTTCATTTTCTTGGCCAGCGTGCAAATCGGTCTGCGAATTGCATGCTAAGTTTAGCCTTTTGTTTTTGGCACGCCATTGAGCAGTATTTTGTCTTTTACCTCTCACTCAGTCTATCTCATTCTCCGCTGTCTCCCTCTATTGGCCATTTTTTTTTTTTTTTTTTTTTGAAATGTTATTCACCCCGCCACATTACGTATACGCCGCATGCAACTGCAATCAGCAGCAACTTGTTGAGACGGCTTTGCGCGGCAGCAACAAGCCGCTTAACTACTCATAAACCCAGCGCCCTCTTGCTACACTAAGCTGCATATCAACAACTAGAGCCAACATCCTTCCTTCTTCTTCTTCTTCATAAGTGCTGTTGAAGTTTTCATTACAATGCAGCTAGTTTATACTCTGGTCTCAACCAAACTAATTAACATAGTTCGCACAATGAATGATGGATATACAGGAGAAATAATCAAGGGAGAGGAAAGGAGAGTAAGAAAAAAGGTTCATCATTAGAGCAATCAGGAAACAATGATAGATTAATAAAGGAACAAAGGCTGAGACAAAAGTATATATAATATAGAAGGACTCTAGATAAAGTTGAAAAACATTTATCACTGCAATAAATACAAAAATCGATCCATTTACTTAAATGTAATCTAGTGAATCGCTTTAGCGAACAGTCATTACGATAATCGAAGATTCGCTGGTGAAGCAAGCAAAACGCTTCAAGACATATTTTTGCTTTGGCCTAAAACAAATTGAATTAGCAGCGGATGCTTCAAGGCATTTGTCCAATATTCAATGCGACTCGACTATATATTATATACAAAAGATTCGCATTTTGGATACACAATGGCGGGGCACATGGCTAAATGGTATGTATTATGGCTTATGGCAAGCTTTCATAATTTCAAATAATTTTAGTTCATTTTTTTTTTTTCGATTTATTTTGAGCGAAAGTTCTTGTGCCGCTTGAATGCCTCGCCCTCGTCTAGCTGCCAAAAAATAATTCTACAAATCAGAAGCAATAGAAACAAGGCGACGTCTATTGGTTCCACTCGACTCGTCGAATTTTTGGTCAGTTGGTCAGTTGAGTTATTCCACATAGGTTAGGTCTCGCAGATCCAATAGGAATACATATATGCATATGCCATAATAAATGCTTGGACATGATTAAGAAACAAAGAATGTATACACAATAGGCGGCATAAAGGAATTCCTTATAATTCTGAAGATCACAAATTGTGTGTATGGGGCGAAAAATAGCTCATAGAATTTGTTTATGATATTACGATCGTTCGGAATGTCAGTGTGGGCCACATTAATCAGCACAGTTTAATGGAGATTATTATATATATAAGCATATTAGACTGAAATGTATAATATTAAATATATATATAAACATAAGATATTAGGCCGAACAGCACAAAATCAAATATTTCACTTGGATAATTAATAGAAGTGTGTTTCATATTCCTAAATTATATACATATATTTTATCCGAATGTTTATAGATCTTTGCCGCAGCACATGTCCACTTCTAAAAAACACTTTCGTCTAAGCACCCTTAATATACAGATCGTAGATATATAATGATATATGATGAGCTATATTTGTGAACATTTCGTCATGGATATTGCAAAAATAAAAAAAAGTTCTCTTCTTCGCCTTAAAAGCAATAGAAAATTTTCAAAAATTGTTTTTTTTTTTTAAGATTTTCCTAGCTGTATGCCTGTATTTTTGTGTGTGTGTGTGTGTTTGTGTGTATCTGTGTGAGTAATAAAATTAGCTCAAATAATACAATTGGAGGCAGAACTAGGAGCTGGTTGGAAGACAGTTGTAAAATCTACAAAAATTTAATGGCTAAATGTACATTTGGCAGTTGTTGTTGTTGTTATTTTAGATTTTGCTCGAAATGGTATTATGCAATTCACACACACACACTTGCGATCGCAGCGCATAGAATGATTTTTCAGTTTTGCTCAATTCGCAAGATTTTCAGCATCGTTTGTTATTTTGGGTGTAAAACACCAAACGAGAAATAAATCAAATCAAATGTAGCCAGAGCCAGCAAACCATTTATATATGTATACAGATACAATATACACATATGTATATATATATATTTATCTATATGCAACACGCGCTGTGAATTCTTGAGGATGTTTTTGATTTGTATCTGTTTTGCTGTATATTGCGCGTATCTGTCTGTGCGTTGAGATGTCCGTCTGTCCGTATGTCCGTCTGCCATGTTGTTGTCAGAGAGACAGAGAGAGATAGCTAGAGAGATCGAAGAGTTAGAACCGGGCCAAGGTTACAAAACACGTCAATAAAGCGCGTTAACAATATCAACAACAACAAGAAAACAATATTCTATTATTATTGCTTTTGCTTTTGTATTTGATTTTAATTTTTCTTTTGGAAAACTCACGCACAAACCGAACAACAATTTCCGAGACAGGATTTCGGCATGAAAGAGACGGGGAATTTAAGAGACAGACAGAGAGAGAGAGAGAGAGAGAGAGAGAGCCGGCGATCACATTGAATATCAATTTGGGGTCATCTAACGATCACGTTCATGATTTGTTGCCATTATTATTATAATGCTTTATATATTCGCTTCGAGATATCGCTCAATTTGCAAGCTTGACAATATAATTAGCTAATTTATGCGACAATTTATTTAGCCAGACTCCGCAGTCAGTCAATTGCGAATGGATCAAACTAATTGGCCAGCATTTACGATTAAATTATGATACATTATTTCAAGGCTTTTCTGTTGCTCTCGCGRTTGTTGTTGTTGTCGTTCTTGTTGTTGTAGACACATGTCACCGAAATCTAAAAGACATCTTAATTATAATGTGACCATAACGGTTCAAGTGTTGCGCAAACGCGTGTTTTTTATAATCCAACAAACGAAAAAGTAGCGAAAAAAAACTATAAGGAATAAATATCTCAAGCGCAACGAACACTCAATACCCTACTAGAATCTATTGCTTCTATATAAATTTATAACAAAGCTGAGTAATATACTAAACTTAAATTTCATTTCAAATAACTTCACTGACCGTGCCTATCGACTCGACTTGTAATGTACAAAATTCTTTTTCTGATAATCTCATAATACTCTTTCTACAAATCTTTAAAAACGTTTTCAGCGGAAGCCAAAACAAAATAAAGAGATTGTATTCAGAGGATATGATTCAAACAACAAACGGCAGCATTTAGACCAAAACCATCAATAAAAATAATGCAAATTTAATAATGAGATATATAATCTCCCTCTCCCTCTCTATCTCTCTCTATCTCTCTCTCTCTCTCTCTTTCTCTTTCTTAACTGTATCACTCTTAGGCCGTGAACTTTGCCTTGTCCGCAGAGTTTATATATTTTATGGCCCAATTAAATAAGAGAAAAACACTTTAATTATAGCAATAATAAATACGTGCGGCCATGCAACAAATTGATATTTATAAAAATCGCATTATCCTTGAACTAAGAAGACTGAAACTGTTGTGGAAAATATGTAAGGAAAATCTACAACATGTGTAAATAAACAAAATTTTAATTTATTACTGTATTTTGCTGCAACCTCAGTTTTTCTCTTCATCGAGTTGAATGTCAGCGGACCGCCCCCAAGAGTTTGTCTTTGTCTGTCCGTCAGTCCGTTTGTCTATCGCATTGGCTGTCCGTCGTTTAATTTGTCATCATCATCATCATTCATAGCCGAAGGTGGCAGCCGTTTTGGATTTTGCCATTGAAAATGGCAGCCAGGTGTTTTGGCTCTGTTTGTTATTGTTGTTGTTGTTTTAGCTGCTGTTGCTTGTTTGCTTGTTGCTTGTTGCTTGTTTATGAATGAAAGCCGAAACAAACAATTTTCACTTGTAAAAGAAAGCATACAAGCAGAGCCTTCGCTTTGACTTTGATCAACGAAATCAGCGATGAATTAATTAATTATAATACTTACAGCACATAATAAATGCAATAGAAATTCATTTTTGCGGTTAAACAATAACAACAACTATTACTACAGAAGTAGCAGCAGCAGCAACAAGAACAGCCGCAGGTAATTCAAGACTTTACATAGTTCCCATTGTTATTATTGCTGCAATTACAGTTACGCCCTCAGCGCCCCCGACAGCCCACCCGATATCTGATTATGTAGATATTAACATCTGGTTAACAAGTGCGCCGCAACTAAACGGTGAAAATATCTCTTGACTCTTAGCGGGCGCAGCATAATTAAAATCAATTAACTGCAAACAAAAAAGACAGTTACTGCTAAAAGTATGCGCACACGCACACACGAACTATGACTAGCGTTTGTTATATTTGTATATTGTATATGTTCTATATTCCTATGTATATTATATTTGTATATACAATTTTAAATTGATTTTACCATGTAAATATACGATTTTTTGGCTTTTATCTTTTTTTAGATTCTGTTGAAAAGAGTTTCTTCATAATCAAAATTTTCCAATATATTTGAGTAAATATTGCAATGTATCTTATTTAAATTATAAGCATTACCTCGCCAAAATACATTGAACTGTCTTTTGTCTTTGAAAGGCGCCACATGAAATAAATTTCAACAAAGATTTCAATTTTATTTTCCGCTATAGCTTTTCATTTTTTTCATTCTCTTTCTCTTGTTTTTAAGTATAAATTTTTCATGCGATGTGGCCCAAAGAACAAACGAACGAAATTGAAAGAAAAATGAAAATGATTTTGCGAAAATCTTTTCTATATACAACGCGCATTTGTCTATATCTATATATATAAGTATATATGTATATAGACATATACATATGTAATTTGTATATACATATATGTGTGTATATTGTATATTTTTCTTGGCATTTAAAAATAGAATTTTTTTTCTTATTTAATGCTTGCGCCGTTTGCTGTTTGTTGCTATTGTTGTTGCTGTTTCTGCTGCTGTTGTTGTTGTTGTTTCGGGCATTCGACTTGTAAATCGTCGGCTTGCATTAGAAATGTATTTGTTAATATTTTAGTGGTTTTTGCGGTGCTTTGGAAACCGCAGCGAGAGCACGAAATACGCCGTAACAAAAACCAACTAATTGAACGGATAGCAAATACCCTGCAAATCAATCACATGGTTCTAAACTGCCAGTTCCCGATATACCTTATGTGTGTTAAATGTAATAGAGCAGCTACATATATCGCAAACAGAGCACTGGAATCTTATGATTTCCACACTTGCTATTTCCATATGGAGGTTCTATTCCTAGTACGACCGAAGAGGACGACCGTTTACTCTCTCTATACCAATTTGAATTTACTTATTCTTGATTACTCAGGCTCACCACATTGATATAAAACATGCTCAAAATCATTAAATCAAAATCATGATACCCCTTCTATGCCAGCTAAGGGTATCAAAGATGTGTAGCATGCGCCGACGTTCACGGCAGCTGCGACGCTAGCAACGCTGCTCAGTTGGGCGGCGCAACAGTTTCGAAAGCAAAGCAACACCCTGCCACAACCTCTTCCCGCACCCGCTCACTTTTGCTACTGCTACAATTCCTGCTGGGGTCGCGTGTTCACAATCACTGACGTAATGTGCTCCATTTATATATTTCACAGTTTATCATTGATACATATGCCAGAGTGAGACAGGTAGTGTATAGGTTAATATGTATGTAATACGCACCTGATGCAAAGCCGTGAGCCCGTCAACATTGGCCGTGTTTATGTCGGCGCCCTGCTCGAGCAGCTGCACCACCTCCTCCTTGTCGCCCGATAGACAGGCGGCCAAGAAAACGCAGCCCGAGCTGAATTTTATCCTGCGGCTGTGCTCGTGGCGTGGAGACGGAGCGGCTCGATTAGTGTCCGACTCCTCCCAGCGCTTCAGTTGCTCGGCCCGCTTCATCATGGCCGAATTGTTGCGCACCTCTAGCGATGACATTTTGACGGCTTTTTTTTTTAAATAACGGCGCTTGAGGCGCCACACACAGTTGCACTTAAAATTTAATTGCTGTGTATCTTGTTTTTGTTGTTGCTTTTGTAATTGCTATTGTTATTGCAATTGCATTTGCAATCGCAGTTGTTCGCTGCACCGAGAATTTTGATTTGCACTATTTATAGAAAAAATTTTCCCATTAATTTCGATATTATTTTGTATTTTTGCTTTTTTTAGCACTGATCACTTACAAATTGTCTGTGTGTGAATGTTGGTGCTGGTGCTGCTGCTTCTTCTAGCTAATTATTAATTTTCTATTTTCACTCGTTTCGTGCCTACTGCTTTGTGTGTGTTGTTGTTGTACTTTTTTCTATACGCTTTATCAGCTAAAACGGGCGCAACTGCTTGGCGTGTTTTTTTTTTTTTTTATCGTGTTTCTTTTGCACTTCACTGCACACACACACACGCACGCACACTCAGAGACGCATACACTAACGCACACTCACTCACAAGCTCCCGGGAGCAGAGGAGAGTCACACAGCACAAGCACACAAACACACACACACTGAGGCGCGCATGCAGGCTGGCGCGTTCTCACCAACCGTTTTCCTACACACGCTTGCAAAACAATTTTCGTGTTAGCATTTATCACACTTCTTTTTTATTCTTAGTTTTCGCTTAACATTAAAAACAAACATTGTATCCATTTGCGCGATGATGCGCTGCTGCTCCTGGCTGCAAAGAAAAAAATTTAACCAAAAGTTGCGCGTAAATAAATTTGACATTAAACACAACACTGCCGACGCTCAGCCGCTCTGCTGCTCTGCTGCTCTGCCGCTGACAATGTTGACGTTAGGGCGCTGCTGGCATTTTGATGTTGCAGTTGTAGTGCAGGGTTGTCGCACTTCGCTTATATTTTAGCACAGAATACGCACAATGGTATAGTTTCAAATATTAATGGGAGCATATAATAGAAAATAAAGAACATTTGTTGCTGCTGCTCTTTACACTTTGTTTATCATTGCTCGTATGTTCACTCTCTCTCTCAGCCTCGCTTGCTCTTCCACGCATACACACACACACACTCTCTCTTGCGCTCACATACACACGCAATATGCAACACTGTGTGCGTGTGTGTGTATGTTACCAATTTGACATAAATTCAACAGCCGCGACGCTGACGTCGGTACGCGGGTAAATAGAACGAAGTACGCTACTAAAGATGGAAACCGATATTTTCACTAAATCTATTCGTCTTTATTTTATATAATGGGATTTTGTAGTCCAATTATAATACTTAAAAATACTGCGCGTAATTATGTAAAGGTATTTAACAGCGCCTCCATCCTCAGACACATACACGTACGCATACATATGCAAACGTTGAGAAAAATGTATAAATTGCAGTAAAAACTTTTCACAGCACAACGGAATCGAACCCGATACGAGCACAGAGGCAAACGCACTTACTTTGCTATTCGGCACGCGCAAATTATGGGGCACTGTTTTAGTGCTCAGACGCGTAGACAGTGCAATGCACAATAATTCAATTTATTGTGCATATTTCGGATAAATTTGATAATTTAATTTCGTTCACCAATCCGTGCCATTCCGTGCGGCCACGACAAAGGTTAAAATGAAACTGATGAAAGAGAGAGACAGCGCCAAACAGAGAGAAGAGAGCGACCCTGTCAGTGTGACATGTTGCTGCTCATGGTGAATGCGCGTTGTTTGTGAGCGAAAAATGTGACTGTCGCCACATGTTGCCTCAACATCTACTCATTATGGTCCACTAATACACAACAGTGTGTACATATGACAAAAACTATGTTGTTGGGGAAACACTCTTCCAGGGCTGCATTGGAGAGATTCAAATAAATATCGATTTGGCGCGCATTCAAGAGCTGTGTAACGGTGCCTATCGAATTGAGAAATATTTTTCTACCCCTCTTATTTGAATTCTCGTTCTCCCTCTAACTTTAGCTACCCCCTTGGAGAGCGCAGTCTCCCCAAAAACCCACCACCCAAAAATTATTGCGCAGTTCTCTTCCGCAATTACCAATACGTTTGCGTTCTCGTTCCAACCCGCTGCGTGCATAGAAAGCAAAACAAAACTATGCAATAGAAAAACAAAATAGGCTACGCCAGCCGTAAAATTTTCACTGCTAGTCGCACCGTGACACTCAGACCCAACAGTCGCAGTCGAGCACTTTTTGCCGGGCCTAATTAACACATTGTTCACTTATCTAGTGCCAACAGAAATATAATAATAAAAATAAAAAAAATCAGGGTATAAAAAAAGCAAACAAGTAAAACCAATTAAAGAAAAAAGTAAAAACGGAAATTTTTGAAGTCCAACCAATTTTGCAAACATTCGCCGATAAGATAATGATGTCAAAATGAATTTGGTGAGTGCAAAATGCGTAGTATAAGTTGTATGTCTGTGCGTGTATGTGTGTGTGTCTGTGTGTGTGTAGAGAGTGGCTTTCAAAAGGATATTCGCTTTTGACTTCGCTTGCACTTCATTCATACGATGCAAAGTCCTCCATATTCCATTTCCCAGTTCCATGCAATTCCATTTGCAACCCTCTCCCTTTCTCTCTCTTTCTCACTTTTCCCTGACTGTCTCTGTCTAGCTTCGCCGCATCTATTTTCGCCTTACATCACGTAGTTTTGTGCGCATTGCTTAGCTCATTGCATTTCATTCATGCCGCCTCATCTCACCTCCCACCCCTTAGGTTCAATAAGCAACCCGTCCGCCCACTCGCCCATTTGCCCACATTGATGTGAATTGTAGTTTCGCGTTTCGTAGAATATTCCCATTTGTAATTGCCGCCCAATGTCATATTGCTAATTGTTGTTGTTATTCCACATGTTCTTACTGACAACAGCTTTGTCTATTTGTTTTGCTATTTTAATCAGCTGTTACCTCATTACCTAAGTTGCAAGCGTGCTGACTATCTGGTTTTAAAGGCTTTCGAAACTATTATGGGCGGAATTTCTACACTGCTAGAAAAGTCTACAAACACTTTATCATAAAAACTAGATACATATATATAAAATGTTAAAATATTTTCTGACATCATTCATATTTATATTCTATGTTTTTCTCACCAATTTATTATTTCTTATCTAATGTTCACAAATTGATAAGGCTGTCAGCTGCTTTTAAAAGAAACACATACATATTTATTCAGCCAAGCATGCTGGTATGACACTTAATTAATAATACGAAATCGATGTGTAAATTTACACACAGCTTGCACAGTTGGTTTTCGTGTTGCAACTGAATTGCTGCAATCGTAGCCAAGCAGTAGGTAAGAAGTGCATTTGCAAGCAGTAAACGACAGCAGAAAAAGCAGTAGACTTTCGAATAAAGATTTGCTGCACAAAGATTATATCTTTAACTTGTACATATGTGTGTGTGTTGTTGCACATCAACATGCCTGCATATGTATGTGTATATGTATATCATCAATTTCCCGCACGTTTCTTGTCCTACTTGTTGGCCTGCCGTCAATTGTTCGTGTTGCGTCTTTGAAGCATTAGGGATCCTGCAGCCTGTTCAGCCAGCTGGCAGCTGTTGGCTGGCAAGCGTCTTGTGCCCCGTTCCTGGAACACGCACACAATAAGGATACGACAGGATCAGGCAACAGCTGCACGCACCTTTTTTGATCCCTTTCGGCGTTCAGCTGCCGGCACACGTCCTTCAATGTCCTGCGCTCTGATTGAGCCAACCAGTGCCAGCTGCCAAAGGGAGAGGGAAACAGATGTTGTAATACAGGCAAACTAATCAAGTCTCTTAGTTGTTGTTGTTGTTGTTGCTGTTATGACACCTTTTGCAAGTAGCAAATGCGAAATGCGAAAAAAAATCCAATAAGAAACCGGTTTTTGCTGCATTTGACTGTCAATTAAAACAGAAACAAAATGTATAAATGTATTACTAAACACATAGCTGCGCAGGTGTGTTGCGTTTGTATTTGTTGCTGACTAACAACAAGAACAACAACAACAACAGCTACAACTACTACTACAACAATCAGACGTGAGTGCAACAACTTTAAAAGGCCTTGCAAGGCCGTTTTTATAGCAACATTTACCACAAGAGTCGAAGCTCGATTCTGATTGGGTTTTGCCTGATCTTTGAATCTGCAGAATTATGGAACGATTTTCGTATGCTCACAAAAATAGAAAAGATTTTCCTACTTGGCAAGCGTCTAGACAGCGTTTACATTATTATGTTTCTTTTTTTTTTTTTTATGTGTCGCGACGTCTCGTATGTTAATTTTAGCCACGTTTTATTTATAAAAACAAAAGCAAACAGAAATAACAGAAAATCAAAGTTCAAATTTTGAAACTGCAACGCTTTGGTTGCTAAATATATGACTCGCACTGTAGTCTGCATTTTTGCTTTATTGCAACTTTTTTTTKTATTATTTATTTATATAATTTAATTCTAGCCAGCTGCTTATTGTGAGTGTGTGTGAAATGAAAGAAAATACGTGCTGGCACTTCCTTTCATTAAATTGTGCATATGTATATATGTATGTATATAAAAAAAACCCGCTTAGCAATAGTTATTATCGCTCTAGCTGGAATGAAATATGAGAACAAAGGCTATTTTTTATTATTTTATTATGAGTTAATAATTCAAAGAATATATGCTATAGATCAAGTATGGATTAATTGAAATGTCATTCTTTAAATTTCTTTAGTATACAAATATATATTTTTTTAAATAATTAAATGATATATCGCTTTTACTTTGGGTAATTGAATATTTATAGTATATTAGACATTTAACCATAATTATTGCAAACCATTCTGGCATTTAGCGCTTCCGAGAATTATTAAAAATAGTATATAATATATAACTAAGGTTCAATTATTTACAAACATTCCTCCTCTGTCTTACTTTCTGACTAATCGTCTATCAATTATAATAATCATAGTTAATTAGTGTGCTTAGTATCTATATGATACATGATACCTTATTCTATGGGTATTCTCTATAAACTGGTTACAATCATTGCACTTGATAAATCAATGTACTACATCCTTACATAACAGCATGTATACATCTAACGTATATGTATGTATGTATATATCATTTTCTATATACACATAATACACATACATATGTATGTACATAAGTGCATACTGCTTTAGGTCCTCTTCATATATATACATACATACCTATCGCTTATCGTCTACGCTCGACTTGTTTATATAGAAATTAATAAAATATGAGCATGGAACATTATCAGCTCGGTTGATTTCGTGGCTGTAACTTTTATCGCGTTATTGATATTATTTGCAGCTGCCAATGTCTAAAATAGAAATGTAGAAATGTATACAATATTTAAGCCGGGCCCAGGACAGGTAAGCGAGTGCAGTGGAGCATATGCATGTGCAGGCACTCACACACACATTCACACATAAATATACATACATCACACGTCAATGATGGGCTGCAACGACGTGTCATGACGGTGCATTGACACGCGCCAAGAGTCAAAGACTGGACGAGGCCGATGGAATTGCCAGGCGCATGCTCCTGGGCCGTGGCTAAAAAATCAATGATCCTAGACTGTTGCAGTTGCAGGCGAGCCATTTAACGCTGGTTGGAAAAGGATAACTGTATTGCAGCAGTCCTGTTGTGCGGTTGTACGGTACGCCATCTTGCGTACTAATACTTACCGTAGTAGAAGTTGTACGGGTGTATTGGGGGCGTCATTGTGAAGCCAATGCAGCCAGCCATCCAGCCAGATGAGAGAAAAGCGTAGCGGGCTGGCAGCCTCCTATTCTATATGTTTGTATGTACAGACAGATGTCCATATGTATGCAGACATACAAGCATACATACATGTGTTTTTTATGCTTTTCTGATGGCAAGCCAGCACAATAAGTAGCAATAGTTTTTACTGAAATATCACTCAAATGTTTTTGCTCCTTTACAAATTAACAAAATTGCAAAGTTCCAAGAAGTGCAGCCAAAAAACATGTAAGAAAAAATTTTCAAGCAACATCTGTATGCTGCCTGAATGCATATACATATATACGTGTGTGTGCGTGTGTACGAGCACACGTACATCTGTTTTTCTCTCTTTCAGTCGCTCAGCATTTGCTGTTGTCGGGGTTGCTATCGACAATGCTTGTCGGTCGCCTTGCCTCGCTGCTTGACGCGTCTGGTCTTTTCGTGTCGTTCGCTTTGGCTACAGCCGTTCGTACGTTTTCGGTTCATTTTCAGTTCAATTTCGAAGCTCGAATAGTAAAGAAGCTATGGATACGCAACAATTTTGATCACTTAATGCATTTAGAAATTCACTATAAAAAGTAAAGAAGAAAAAAGTGTTTTGATTTTGATATTGCGGTCTCCAATCTAAATTGTGATATTGGTAGTATTTTAACAGCAACAAGAAAGCAAAATAAAATAAAAATACATACAGCAACGTCTGCGTCTCTGTACTTGTGTGTTTTTCCGTTAACGTCTTCGTCAATTCGTCTCTCGGAAAGAAACAAATCAATAATCGTAAAGCAAGACAAGCAGAAAGTACAAAATCATCTGGAATCTCAGCAAAGACTATAATATTAAAAATAACTAGAAGTGAGAGGAACTTGAGTTTTTCAATAAAAAGAGAAAA